GTGCTGGTGCTTTTGGTCCAAAGGTCATACTCTGATGTGAATGATCTAGAAGACCTGATTTCAAGTCCTGGCTTCTCACAGCATCAGTTTCTCTGTCCTTAAAATAAGGGACTTTGGACTAACATACCTTTGAATTCTGATCGTCAGCAGCATCATGAGGAGTGGAGGGCAGGAGGGTGGTCTATGTCAAGAGCATAAATCCCTGCTCTGAGTTTTCAGGGAATCCCCATCAGCACACGGCAAAAACAAAATGGAAAAGTGGAAACAAACAAGTCAGGAAATACAGTTTGTATTCTGACAATCCCAAAGTATTTCCAGTTTTATTCACTCTGTGCCTTGCTAACATTCAAAGGTCTGGCTTTAAGTAGGTCACACAATCAACAAATGAATCGTCTCATTGTGCTGTGTTTCTCAAATGAGCTAGAAGGGAGGCTGACTCCTGTCCATGGCACACCCGGGGGGACAGTCTAATTACCAATAATATGCAATGTAGGCTCAAAAGATTGTTATCCTTAGATCTGAAACATCTTCCTAACCAGAATAGAAGTGAAGATACAACTTGATACTACGTTTTGTTTTGCTAAATCTATCACTTATGGAGGAATTTAATACCGTCTTGAAATCTTTCTTATCCTTCAGAATCCTCTCAGGTATTCCCTTCTCAGTGAAACCTTCCCACAGTCAGAATTACCAGCCACCTTTTGTCACCCTGCTCCCAGTTATGCCTCCACTGGAGTGCACACCTCACGGCTGGGCTCCTTCTGTTGTGTGCCTGAGGTCTCCCTCACTGAGTTATGAGCTCCTGAAGCCATTTGGATGGAATAGAAAGAGTTCAGGGACTCAGAACCCAGGTCCCTGAGTGTGCACTCAGCACCGCTCTGTCCTGGTCATTTGTCCCCAGGAGGCCATGGAAGGTTTTGACCTGGCTGCCCCACTCTGTAGTGGCCATGATCAGATGGGGTATTGGGAGGGTGGTGTGAAATAGTGGGTGTGCAGCTGTCTCCCTTTTCTCCTGGCTTAGAGTAGGGCCCCAGATAAAGGCTTGCTCAGGTTCTCCTTAGGTGAGCTCAGGGATCATGACTTATCAATCCTTATAGTTCTAGCACTTCAGGAAAAGTTAGGCCGAGTGGGTGCTCAGTAAATTCTTTACAATTGAATTTAACATTCTCTCTTTTAAGGAGGTTAAGGTGTATTTATTTTAGGCATAGAAAAAATACAAGATGGAGAAGTAACTGTTTGGTTTTCCCCTAGTAGCTGATAGTGCATGCTTTTGTGGAATATATGAAATGTATCTTGAAGTAATTTTTAAAATTCTGACAGAGATTTATTTCTGATTTGCTAAGTTTAGAAATCCTAAACGCAACAGGAGAAAAGATAAATATTACACAGGAACAAAAAACTATATTTAACAGGCAATTCCTAAAGGTTATCCGTTTTTCTACAGTTATAGTTATAAACTTTCTGGAAGAATTAGAAAAATTGATAATAGTTACCTTTGGGAAGAGGGTCAAGGGCAGGGGAGAAGGAGACTTTTAGTTTCATGTTATATATTTCCATGTGCTTTGAATTTTTGGCCATGTAGGCATATTTTGGTTTTTAAATATACATATATATATATATAAATACATACATACATACATATATATACACACACACACATATGTGTGGGTGTGTATTAAGGATATCTGGAGGAATTGAAGGATGGGCCATTTTTATTTTACTCTTTTATATATTAAAATCTTTAATGAGTATTATTTTGGGGTGGCTTAAGTACCAAGTGCTAATGATAATTGTGGGTGCTCTGCCCCTTGTCAAGTCACTGAACCATCTCCATCACAGAAGTCAAGGGCAAGCTCAGCTCACTCAACCTTTCCTATGTCTGAGCTTTAAGAAGCTCCCAGGGTGGGGCTGTGTTCTCATGCTACTGCCAGTTGGGAAAATCTAGCAACGAGCTATGAGTCCTTAAAGTGCTGGAATCATCACTTCATAAATCTATGGTCTGGCTTAGTGAAGATGAAGCTGCAGGTGACTGCCCAGAATGAGAAGAATGATAGGATATAGAGCCCAGTCCAGCGGGAGCATTAGGCCCCTACAACAAGAAAAGCAAGGGAGTTGCCCTCCTTTGGAATATAGCATGTCCTTTTTATTTTTTGTGAGGGAGGGGCAGAGGGAGAGGAAGAGAGAGACTCTTAAGCAGGCTCCATGCCCAGCTCGGGGCTGGTCGCAGGGCTCCATCTCACAACCCTGAGAGCATGACCTGAGCCGAAAATATGTCAGAAGCTTAACCGACTGAGCCACCCAGGTGCCTCCATAGCATGTCCTTTTTAGAAAGATACTGGATTTTCATTTTTCCTTGGCACCGCTGAGCTGTTTTCCACATTGATCCCCTTACCTCCCGCTAGTGGTTGGGAATGAGCCCATTTAGAATGTCTGAGAACAAATGGTGCACCTCTTGTCATATGCTTGGGTAGAATGAAGCAGCATTTCCCTGTAGCTCCGATCGATCATATTCTGCTTCCCTGGACTTAACTCTGATTCTGTGAGTTAAGGAGAAGACTCCTCAGAGACCTTTCAAATTATGCTTTCAGTTCTGGGTGGTACCGCCACATAGGGGCCGGGACAAACTGGGATGTTTTCCTAGGAGGGCAGCCAGGATTGTTAAAGGAATTGTAACCATATTGCACGAAGAATTGCTGATGGGTTGAGAAGTAGTCTCTACTCACTTCTCTGTGGTCAGATCATTCGCTTCTCTATGCCAATGAACTGGGTTCCATAGTATTAACCTCAAGGGATTGTTGTAAGGAGCAAATACATTAATTCATACAAACACTTAGAGCTGGTAAGGGTTCAGCAATTGCTAGGGACGGATTTTTGTCCTTGGGGCTGGAGCTATAAGAAAGACTCCCACATCTTTGGACTGCAGCAGCCATGGGCCCCTCCTGATCTAAAGGAGCTTACCCTCTGGTTTGTAGGCATTTTTAAAGTCACAGATATTATTATGAAAAGCTTAGCTATTGATTATTCTTCTGAGAGGCCTGAGTAGCTGACTTGAGCCCCTTGTGCTATAAATAAGAGATTTGCTGCATATGCATTTCCCTGGGTGAATCTGTCTCCTTTGGGAATTCCTTCGCCTTGTGCTGATCCATTATTTAAATTGTCTTGTAACCATGCACTGGGCTTCATGGTATGAGTATCTTTTTTTTTTTTTCTTTTTGAGAAGGATGCTCTGTTTATGGTTAGCCCCATAATAAAGAAAAATATGTCATTCCCCATCAAGGCAAAGGATGGCCACTCACCCCTTTGCAGTACCCCAGTCTGAATAAAAATGGCTTCTATTTTGTCTTACTGTACAATGGTTCCAACATTTGCCATTCCTGTAGCTGCCTGTACTCAGCTATATGCAGAGCAGCATCCACATGTCATTGATGTCAAGGTCATCAGACTTTTCCAGGTGTTCTACTGGGTCCATTAACTGTGTATTAAGCAAATGAATTCAGGGTGAGTGTTTAAATAGGATATTTCCCAAACTAATCTAAAGCAGTAAATCAATGTGTTTTTCTAACTTGTTACTTAGATGCTGCTGAGTATCTTGAATGTGCCTTTGAAAAGGAACTATTCAAGTGGTGATTTGGTGAAGGGCGAGTAGAAATGGATGAGAGATGTAGTAGCTTTGTAAGTACCACACCCAGATATAACAAACTTTCATTTATTAATTAATGTCATTTCCCCTAGACATTACACACCGTTTTACAAACATCTCTGAAGTAACTTTTGCCATACCTAATACTATTTCATCTTAAGAAAGATTCCAGACAGGGCTTCTGGGGGCCTGTTTTTTTAGAAGAAGCAAATGAATTAGACAAACCATAAGAGACTCTTAATCTCAGGAAACAAACTGAGGGTTGCTGGAGTGGAGGGGCTGGGAGGGATGGGGTGGCTGGGTGATGGACATTGGGAAGGGTATGTGGTATGGTGAGTGCTGTGAATTATGTAAGACTGATGAATCACAGACCTGTACCCCTGAAACAAATAATACATTATATGTTAATAAAAAAAAAGAAGAAGAAAATTCACAGGGCATCTCGGTGGCTTAATTAAGGGTCCGACTCTTGATCTCAGCTTAGGTCATGATCTCAGGGTCGTGAGTTCAAGCCCCCCATTGGGTTCCACACTGGGCATGGAGCCTACTTAAAAAAAAAAAGAAAAGAAAAATCACATGTGTACTCACAGTGACACCAAGAGGGACATCGATCTAACTCCTGATTTTCCATTTGTTTCTACTATGGAAGTAAAGCCAACCATGATAAGTTTAACAGTTCCCAAACTGCAACACTATTTTTCTTCTCCTTAGGCTCCTTAAGCTTCTGACTCCAAGAGAAAGTTTTCTTTTATGAGCAGAGTTTGAGACTATTTTAAGATTAACTCTTGTGGTCTCTAAACCTACCTTCCCTAGCTTCCCTTTCCTTCTTAAGGAAGGGCCAGGGCTTTTAGGAGAGACTAGAGAGAAAGAACCCATGGAATCCTTTAGAGAGTCCCTAAGAGTCTGGCCTTGGCCTGATCATCTGCTACAGGCAGAGATTTGAAGCAGACTGGGAGATTCATTTTGACCAGGAAGACCTTGACTCAGTCTCCCATCTTGGCCTTGTCATGTGCTAAGCTGGGCATTTGGACCAAAGGCAACATGCGTGTGAGTCAAAGTCCAGGATTGTCCTGTGTGGAGACTCCTTGGGCCTGCACCCTATGTACCCATTCTCATGAGCTGAGCAAGAACATCACTGTTTTGTCTTTTGCCTTTGTCATTGGTCATGACAGCTAAAGGTAACCAACAGAACTTACTTTCCAACTTGAAAGGTGATTTGTATATCCTGAAGGATGTATTTTTTTAAAGGAATTTTTTTCTCATACAAAATGCTAAAATGTATTTTGTCTCTTGTTCATTTGATCTAATGTGTTAATTACTCCAATCTCTGACATGTTTCTCTGTTTTCTGTGTGTTGCAGGCAGCGTAGTGTACCTTGGCATGATGGCAGGGGCTTTCTTCTGGGGAGGACTGGCAGACAAAGTGGGAAGAAGGCAGTCTCTGCTGATTTGTATGTCTATCAATGGATTCTTCGCCTTCCTTTCTTCATTTGTCCAGGGTTATGAATTCTTTCTCTTCTGTCGCTTAGTTTCTGGATTCGGGTAAGGTTTTTTTCCTTCATACTTCATAGTAATGTGTTTATTCTTCATAATTATACATGTTCTCCACTCTAAAGGACCTCATTACTGAGAAATTATCCCTTACCACACTTCTTTCCCTGTCTTCATGTCCGCCTTAGGAACCATGATGCTGGTTCTTAGAAATGTAAGTCCAGAAGAGAGGAGAACACACTTCTATGTTCTTGTGGCTGATTCTGGTAGTATTTTACTTCAGGAAATGTGTTTTAGTTTAAATGGAATCTTGTTTCTCTGGCAGAATGCATTCATAAATGTATTTTTCTTCTGAAAATTTAGTTTAAGCAAGAAATAGCCCTGGTCCTACCTATTATAAGCTAGTAAAGGTTCAAACTATTCAGACTTGCTCTTAAATCCGAGATGAGTGTGTCTCAAGCAAATGTTACTTTATTGATCTCTGTTAACAGCATATTTAACTTGGTAGAAAGCCTACTTCTTAAGATGTAATATGTTCCATTTGTTAAGTTCCTGATTTTTGTTGAATTAACAGAAGTTGTGACATTGGCCAAGTACAATGGAATAGTATCATAATCCCCCCACCCCGCTTATGCATGGGGGATACATTCCAAAATCCCCAGTTGATGCCTGAAACGGCAGATAGTACCGAACCCTATATAAACTATGCTTTTTCCTCTATCTACATACCTATGACAAAGTTTAACTTATAAATTAGGCACAGTAAGAGACCAACAACAGTAACTTATAATAAAATAGAACAATGATAAAAATATGCTGTAATGAAAGTTATGTGAATGTGATCTCTCTCAAAATATCTTATTGTACTCTACTCATGCCTGTTCTTGTGATGTAAGACAATAAGATGCCTATGTGATGAGACGACATGACGTGAATGATGTAGGCATCTTGACGTAGTGTTAGGCTGTAACTGACCTTCTAATGATGAGTCAGAAGGAGGATCAATTGCTTCTGGACTGTGGTTGACTGCGGCGAATTGAAACCACAGGTAACTGAGACCTGGGAAAGCAAAACTGCAGAAAATGGGGGACTGCTATGTAGCCAATGGTATAGTCATTGTCTTTACAGAGCTTGAAGCACCTGTTAACTCTACGAAGTGAATCCACAGCTGAGGAAAACCCCATATCTTAATTAGGAGAGTCCAAGATACTCTGCTCTGATAAGGAAAAAATCAGTAAAAATGCAAAATTTCTGTTTGAGAACTTTATTTTCATTAGAGATGTTCTTTCTAGGGTATCTATCATAAGATGAATCTATAGGAATAATATCACATAAAAGTAAATAAATAGAGAAAGGAAAGGAGACAGTCCTGGGTTATGAACTTGAGAAGCATATCAGTTGTGGTTGTTGAGAGTGGTAGCCACACAGCAAAACACAGTTTTGCCAAAAGAGAAGGTCAGAGAATGGCAACTTGTCTTCCTTAATTACCTAGACTAGTACTTTAAAATCAGAACTAAGCTGAAAAGGAATATAAGGCATGATAGAGAAAGACTATGATCTGGTTACTTTGGGGGTACAAAGATTTCCAAATGCAAACTAATGGATCACTTTATGACCATTCAAAATATCTTTAAAAATTTTTATATCATTATATGCCACAAGATGTATGTGCATATTGAGACTGGTGGATTATTCACTGATTTTTCGGATGTGCTTTTTCATCTTTTTATAGCCCTTCATATGCTACATTCTGCACACAGTGGGCACTTTGCAAATATGTGACTAAGTCGCACAGATCAGGAGCTTTCCTTAGAGTGAAGACATTCCCGTAGACCATTCCAGTAAACCAAGAAGGTTGGAAAGTCTGGGAAAGTGTAAAAATATTTTTTCCTTGGGAAAAAAATGATAAAAATCAATAATTCGCTTTGTAATGAATGATAGAGAAAGGAGGCTTTCCCTTAGTGCTCAGAGGTCTGTGTGAAATTGGCGAAGTACACAGATGACCTGGGGAGGTAATTTGGATCATGGATTCAAGGGGCTGCAGCAGTGAATTGGGGTACCTGAGGAAGAACATGTTTTATTTGGGGCTATTTGTTAAAGGACCTTCTCAGGGTCCATAAGATAAGACATTCTTGCCACCAGGAAAGGCTAAGGCTTCCGTTTACTTTCTCTTACCTCTAATACCACTGGCCTGTCAGGATAAGGCTAACAGCCTAAGTTCTGAACTTTCCAGTCCTTTCCATTTAGTCTTATCAAGGAAATTTCAGTGATATCCATAGACTCAGAGGTACCTGACTGTGGTCAAATTATGATGGCAGTTTTAATTGCCAATTCTGGACTGTGATGTGGTCAACCCAATTGACTGCAGAGAAAAGGGCCATTATGGTGGCTGCGGAATACTCCAAACTAATGGACTGTCTAGAAGTTAATTCAAGGGCAAGGCAGAAGCAGAGACTGCCTGGGTATATTCATGATATCATCGTCCTCCCCGTCACAGATCATTCTTCAGCCAGCAGCTCAGGGCTGCTGACTTCTAATAACGTAATCTACCTGGCAAAGCACAGACTGTGTATTGCTAATTCAGCTAGCCTCCATAAATTGTGATACCAGAGGTTAATGCATTGTGCCTTTGCCAAGTTGGCACAGGACTGGGAGTCCAGAAATCCGAGTCCACCCTACCCTTGCCCTTTACTGGGGACCCTGGGAGAGTCATTCTGAAAGAGTCCAGCCTGATTCTTTTCTTGTTTTTTTGTTTTTATTTTTATTTATTTTTGTTTCAAGTTTTTATTTAAATTCTAGTTAGTTAACATATAGTGTAATATTGGTTCAGGGGTAGAATTTAGTGATTCCTCACTTACGTACAATACCCAGTGCTCATCACAAGGGCCCTCCTGAATACCCATCACCCATCTAGCCCATCCCCTTGCCCACCTCCCTTCCAGCAACCCTCAGTTTGTTCTCTGTAGTAGAGTCTCTTTGGTTTGCTTCCCTCTCTTTATTTTCCCCTTTCCCCTATGTTCATCTGTTTTGTTTCTTCAATTCCACATATGAGTGAAATCATATGGTATTTGTCTTTCTCTGACTGACTTATTTCACTTAGCATAATACACTGTAGTTCCATCTATGTTGTTGCAAATGTCAAGATTTCATTCTTTTTGATGGCTGCATAATATTCCGTTGTATATATATAACCACATCTTTATCCATTCATCTGTTGATGGACATCTAGGCTCTTTCCATAGTTTAGCTATTGTAGACATTGCAGCTATAAACGTTGGGGTGCATGTGCCCCTTCGGATCACTACATTTGTATATTTGGGGTAAATACCTAGCAGTGCAATTGCTGGGTCATAGGGTAGCTCTATTTTTAACCTTTTGAGGAAACTCCATACTGTCTTCTAGAGTGGCTGCACCAGTCTGCATTCCCACCAACAGTGTAGGAGGGTTCCCCTTTCTCCACATTCTCACCAACATCTCTCCTTTCCTGTGTTGTTAATTTTAGCCATGCTGACTGGTGGGAGGTGGTATCTCATTGTAGTTTTGACTTGTATTTCCCTGCTGATGAGTGATGTTGAGCATCTTTTCATGTGTCTGTTGGCCTGATTCTTCTTTTGTGAGAAGAGATGGAGATTCCTGAGGCTGGTGGTGCACCTGAGGGGGGAGCCCAGGTGGCAAAACAGTCAGAGTTTTGTGGGATCCAAGCGCTGAGGGGACCTGAGAACTGAAGTTGTTAAGGAAAACGAAGAAAGTTATCTTTCTTCCTCAACTGAGTTCACAGGCCATGTCACCTCTACACAACATGTGAGGCACCACCTCCATGAGAGAGGGCTTTTCTCAGCAGCTCTAGAGTTCCATTTGGGCACCCTGTCTCTGAATCTCTGGGCCGTCTCAGCCAAGGCTCTGCTTCCTCCAGAGATATATTTTTTTCTACGTAGTTAAGAGCTCCCTCTATCCCCATCTGATTTGGGTTTTAAATTGAGTAAAACTAAATGACCAAGGAAATAAGGCTTCAGAATGTTGGGATTCTTTTGTTGCAGGCCTCTGGCACTCAGACCCATCAACGCTCCATGCATTTCCCAGGAATGTTGCTCTCGCCATCTTTTCTACTTCAGAGGTTCTTCTCCCAGAGCCCTTAGCGCTCAGGGCCTCAGAGAGGCCCTTTCTAAGACCAGCCCTCCCTGCAAATACTTGCTTTTCATGTGTTTATTTCTCTTCTCCTCCGGACTGTAAATTCCAAGAGGCTGGGCTTGTCTGCTTAAGGCAAGGCAGGTTTGGTTACCCTAAAGGACACCAGTCCTGCCAGAAGTGGACCTATGGCTTTGGCTAGTTGATCATGGTGTTGTTGCCAGAAATGAAATAGATGGGAAGTTTGTTGAAGTCTTACTTGATCTGTATTAGCAGAATTCTAGGTCAAGTGAATGAAAGTTTAACTTGAATCATAAAAAGTCATGAGGCTCAGGAGACAGTCATGGCCCATCAGTGAATTCCCAGACTCGAGCCAGTTTGCAGACCCAGAACTCCTCAAATGAAGGGGAGACTAGGTCCCTTGAGGAAGAACCCCAGGACACCACTGAAACTATATACCTTAATCTTTCACTCAGCCCTTCCCAAGGGACTTATGGCCTTTTATTAGGGTAGCGATGCTGAGGGGAAAGAGATAATCAGACTTTGAGGGGCTCACCGGCTCTGAACTGACACTAATTCCAGGAGACCAAAAACGTCACTGAGATCCACCAGTCGGTGTAGGGGCTCATGGAGGTTGGGTGATAATGGAGTTGTAGCTCAGGCTACATCTCAAAGGGGGTCCAGTGGGTCCCTGAATCCATCCTGTGGTTATTTCCCGGCTCCAGAATGCATGACTGGAATAGACATTGTTACGGGTAGAATCTCCACGTTGGTACAGCTCCTGTTCACTAGTTCCACACACTGGGAGTTTCAGAGGAGGAAGAGAATTTCTGGGTCACAGGCAGAGCCTTCATTTTGCAGATTAAGGTGCAGTGATGGAACCAGGAAGACACAGCTAGGACTTAAGTCACAACTAAGTCCTTTTG